CATGACCGCACATGTGCGTACATACCACACCGTCCGATGCACAGTCGGATGCACAGCCTGGACAAACTCCGAAAGTAGAAGTGACCATGCCCGCGAATGCCAATCTTAGGTATGTGCCCTCAGGCAAGCCCAAAGCGACGACAGTCTAAGGGATGTGCCCACAGAAACTTATGGGATCCTCTAGATCTGCACCGAGTCAAGGTGATGCCAAGGATACGGATGGGGATATGTCTCAAGCTGGTAGCGAGAGAGGAGGCCCTCCCACCGAAGCTTGGTCCCTGACATCCGCCGATCTGCTCTCTGTCCGGCGGCGAGCACGGGGGGGGGGAAGCGAGCAGGAGGAGGCTTGCTCAGAAGTCTTCTGCAAAGCTTTCTGCGCCCTTGGAAAAAGAGGCTCCCGCAACTTCTCAAAGGCCCGAAGCCGCTCGAGCCTTCTCGGAAGGCCCGCTCCTTTGCTCGCCGCCGACTCTCGACCGCTTCCCGAGGAACGGGCCCCTCATCCCGAGCCGAGATTCCTGCAGGTGCCACCGGGGCCCGAAGCGGCCTCCGGGCGACAGAGGTGGCGAGCAAAACTCGACCCCTGGGCCCGACACTTCAAGGACAGGGGCCCTGAGACGTGGGGCCTACGGTGAAGGCATTTTTTTTAACTCTTCGAGTAGGCGAACCCACGTGGTCATGCATGCATTCACGACGACGACGACACGACGGCGACGGCCCGCCCCACGAGCTCGGCACCGGTGAAGGCATTGGATAAGGAATCACCGGATAAGGAATCCAGGGTCTGGAAGCCCGCGGAACTCCAGCGGTGGAGTGGCCCATGGGTATCACCGCCGCCCTCCTTGGATGAGGAATCCTCCAGGGTCCGAAGCCTCCTGGGCGCATTCCTGAACCAACGCCCCCACCGTACTGCCGGCGCGCGCCCGGCGCGCCGCCGACTTTCGGGTCGGGCGAAAGGGGGGGATAGCAAAGGGGGGGTTGGAGAATCAGCTCTTGGAGCTGACTTTCCCGGCGCCTCCCGGCGCCGGAGGCGGCTACGTGTCGAGGAATGGGCCCCTCAGTGGGGCCGAAACCAGCTGCATGCCGCACACTTCGTAACCCCCCCTTTCCCAATCCCCCCCTTTCGCCCGACCCGAGTAACGGAGGGTGACTTCAATGGGGGTTGACGAAAAGGTCGGCGGTGGACAACACTCCCTTCAGTAAACCTCCCCTTAATGAAAGCGGCCTGGGACCGAAACCGACGGACCTGGACCCGCAAAAGTAACGGCCGCGACGCCCTCTCGCGAACCGAGAACGGCCAATTCACTCATCGACATGTCGGGGTAGGAGGCCTATCCAGCCCCGAAAAGGGCCCCTTTAGGACCCTTTTCTCCACCCCCATGCATCGGGACCCCTTTCGCCCGACGCGAGATTTGTTCCATCCGCGGCAGGCCTGGTGTGCTCCTTCACCTCCTCGGTGGCGCGCCGGGCCTCCTGGAGCTCGCGCTGGCCCTGCGGCTGCGCCCGGGCTCGGGCGCGGGGGGCGGCGGGCAGAGGGGCGCCGCGGAGGGGCGCCGAGGCGGAGCCGCAGCAGGACGGGGCCGAGGGTCGGGGGCCGGGTCGCCCCAGATCCCAGGCGGTCCGGTGCTGTTCTCTCTCCCTCCCTCCTCCTCCTCCTCCTCCTCCTCCTCCTCCTCCTCCTCCTCCTCCTCCTCCTCCTCCTCCTCCTCCTCCTCCTCTCAGCACCTAGCACCTAGCACCTCGTGGCTCGAGACTTCGTCTGCACGCAGCCTCCCTCCTCCTCCTCCTCCTCCTCCTCCTCCTCCTCCGCCTGTTGCTCCTCCTCCTCCTCCTGCTCCTCCTCCTTCTCCTCCACCGCCTCCTCCTCCTCCTTCTCCTACTCCTACTCCTATTCCTCCTCCTTCTCTTCTTCTTCTTCCTCCTGCTCCTCCTCCTCCTCCTCCTCCTCTACCCCCCGTTGGTCTGTTTCGGAGGCGCATTGGCTGCAAACGCTTGAATTCGGACATTTCCCGCCTGCGCGCCGGACGGCGTATGGTTTCGTGCGTGCACCAAGCGATCTGGTGTTTTCAATCCCGTCGTCTGTCCTAGACTTTGGCACCTTGGGTCCGTTATCGGGCCCCGGGGCCATCAAGAATGGATCTGGGGCGAAACACTCCCCCCAGGGATGGGGTCGGGACTTCTGTGGCCGCGGATGTGGCAAATCACATCGGCGGATGCCTGGGGACCGAAGACCTGGTTGTCCTCAGCGCACGATGCCGCCGAGTCAGTGCGTCGACCGAATACGTGAGCCGGTCCATCCTGAGGTAGCAACAGTGCAGCTGCACGCAACATTTCGAACATGGCGGAGGCAAGAGCTACACATCGAGGAGGCGGAGGGAAGAGGGAGGGTGGGAGAAGCAAGGAGGCATAGGGAGGGAGGAGGGAGGCGGAGGGAAGGAGGCGGAGCGAGAAGGCGGAAGGAGGAGGAGGAGGAGGAGGAGGAGGAGGAGGAGGAGGAGGATGAAGGGAGGGAGCAGGGCACTCTGGGTACAGAATATGCGGACACTGCATGGTGCCCGTGGATTTGCGGGTATTACTTCAGCTCAACAATCTTCGGCAACCTGCAAAACCTTTTCCCAATCCCTCCGACGGGAACGTCCCCATCTGACGAGCTCATCGGGCGAGACAAAATCATGCAAGAGGGCGACGCTGGTGGCGTCAAGGCTGCGAAGGCGAAACAGGCGTCCACCCGCCTGCTGTCACTCCTCTCCGAGCTCGGGGACCACACTCCCCGCTGGCGTCGAGCTCTCTGGCGACCCTTGCCCCGCATCAGCTTCCCTGTCTAGTGGCTCAGCAGCGGCACCAGCCGAACCAGGCTCCACCAGAGGCCTCCGAGCAGCTCGTCTCCGCATGGCCGGCCCGCAGGGAGGGAGCAGGGCGGGAGAGGACGGAGGGAGAGGCGGAGCGAGGGAGGCGGAGCGATGGAGGAGCGATGGAGGCGGAGTGAGGGAGGCGGAGCGATGGAGCCGGAGCGATGGAGGCGGAGCGATGGAGGCGGAGAGATGGAGGCGGAGCGATGGAGGCGGAGCGATGGAGGCGGAGCGATGGAGGCGGAGCGATGGAGGCGGAGCGATGGAGGCGGAGCGATGGAGGCGGAGCGATGGAGGCGGAGCGATGGAGGCGGAGCGATGGAGGCGGAGCGATGGAGGCGGAGCGATGGAGGCGGAGCGATGGAGGCGGAGCGATGGAGGCGGAGCGATGGAGGCGGAGCGATGGAGGCGGAGCGATGGAGGCGGAGCGATGGAGGCGGAGCGATGGAGGCGGAGCGATGGAGGCGGAACGATGGAGGCGGAGAGATGGAGGCGGAGAGATGGAGGCGGAGCGATGGAGGCGGAGCGATGGAGGCGGAGCGATGGAGGCGGAGCGAGGAGGCGGAGCGATGGAGGCGGAGCGATGGAGGCGGAGCGATGGAGGCGGAGCGATGGAGGCGGAGCGATGGAGGCGGAACGATGGAGGCGGAGAGATGGAGGCGGAGAGATTGAGGCGGAACGATGGAGGCGGAGAGATGGAGGCGGAGCGATGGAGGCGGAGGGGGGGAAGGCCTGGTCCAGGTGGCCCATCAGCTCCTGCACCCGCGCGGTCTCCGCCAGCTGCCCTGGCGCGGGCGCGCCAGGCCCGGCCCAGCACCAGCAGGAGTGGCCCTCGAGCCAGAGAGCCCTCTGCTGCAACCCCGCGCGCAGCCAAGTGCCTTCCAAGGGCATGTCTTCCTCAAGCCATCTTGTGGTGCTGGGTCCTCGTTTTGAAGGGACAGCGCTCCGCGTCCTCTCCTCCTCTCCACGCCTCCCCCCTCCCTCCTCTCATCGCTGCCTCAATCCTCAGCATGTCCGCTTCGGCACGCCACTCGCGTGTTTCGTAGCCCAACCAAACGTCCCCACCTACGGATCAAAACTATGGGCCGCATGCCTGGTCCACACCACTTATGCGCACCCCTCGCACGCTTCGTGACCCCATAAGGAGCTCCACCTCAGGCGCGCAAATCTGGGTCCGCATGCCTGGTCCACGCCATTTCGGCACACCCCTTCACACGGTTCGTGGCCCAATAGGGAGTCCAAGTTAAGGCCCCCAAAGGACAGCCTGCATGCCTGATCCACAGAAGTTCGGCGCACCCCTCGCACGCTTCGTGGACCCATGGGAAGCTCCACCCACGGCCCAAAAATCTGAGTCCGCATGCCTGGTTCACGCTGTGTCGGCACAACCCTCACACGCTTCTTGGCCCCATGGGGAGCTCCACCGAAAACCAAAAAAGCATGGGTCCGCATGCCTGGTCCACGCTATGTCGGCGCACCCCTTACACGCTTGGTGGCCCCCATTGGGAGCTCTACGCAAGGCCCGAACATCAATTTCCGCATGCCTGGTCCACACCTTGTCGGCGCACCCCTCATACGCTTCGTTGCCCCATTGGGAGATCCACCCAAAGCTCCAATGATTGCGCCCACATGCCTTCTCCACACCGTTTCGCGGAACACCCCTCACACGCTTCGTGCCCCATAGGGAACTACACCTGAAGCCGCAGTAGCTGCGTTCGCACGCGTGGTCCACACCATAACTATCGGTTCGTCCTCACACGCGTCGTGCCCCTATATGGAAATCCACCTAAGGCCCCAGTTGCAGCAATCGTATGAGTGACCGCGCCCATTTCGGCGCACTCCTCAAACGCTTCGTGGCCCCATAGGAATCGCATGCGTGACCGCGCCCACTTCCGCACACCCCTCGGAAGCTTCGTGGCCCCATGAGGAGCTTCACCGAACGCCCCAGTGGTAGGACCCGTAGATGTGCCCGCGCTCACTTCGACGCGCCTAATCACGCGCTCCTTGGCCCCGTAGGGAACTCCAGCAAAAGCCCGGCCGCATGATGCCTCTCCTGCCCCCCGGGACAGCGGCGACAGACGCGCAGATCAGCCGTAGCGGGTCGCATCCACATGCAACCCGTTACGACACACCTCTGCGACACCATCTGCAAAATCGTTCCGTTCTTCCCACGTGCGCTATAGTACGTTTGCGAACTTGTTCCTACCGTAGTTGTTTCGTCTTCGGTGGAGCTTCCATGTGGGGTCGGGAATGGTGTCGACCACGCATGCAGGCCCAGCTACTGGGGCATCAGGAGGATACCCTTATATGGAGCCACGAAACGTCTAAAGGTGCGTCGATGTGGTGCGGACAATGCATGCGGGTCCTGGCGCTGGGGCCGTCGGTGAATTCTCAATGGGGCCACGAAGCGTGAGGCGGGTGCGCCGAAATGGTGTGGACCAGGCTGCGGCCCAGGCGGTGGTGCCGCAGGTGCTGCTCATGGGGCGGCCACGACATGTATGAGGAATGTGCCGACAAGGTGTGGACCAGGCTGCGGGCCCAGCCACTGGGTCCTCGGGTAAAGCCCCCATATGGAGCCACGAAGCGTGTAGAGGTGCGCCGAAGTGGTGCACCACGCATGCGGGTCTGGCGCTGGGGCCGCCAGTAGAGTCCCCAACTGGGGCCACGAAGCGCGGGAGGCGGGCACCGAAATGGTGTGGATCACGCGTGTTGACCCAGCCACGGGGGCCGTCGGTGGAGTTCCCAACTGGGGCCACGAAGCGCGGGAGGGTGCGACGGACATATCCTACTCCTGATCTTCCTGCTCCTCCTCCTCCTCCTCCTCCTCCTCCTCCTCCTCCTCTTCCTCCTCTTCCTCCTCTTCCTCCTCCTCCTGGGGGAGGGGTGCGCCGAAATGGTGCGGACCATACGCGTTGGCCCAACCACTGGGTCCTTAGGCGGAGCTGCCTATGGAGCCACGAAGCGTGTGAGGGGCGTGCCGAAATCGCGGGGGCCAGGCGCGCAGGTTATCTGTGCGACTGCGCTCTGGCAAGGGGGGCGGCACCAACGCGACGCCAAAAAGCGTCGTGGACGCGAGCATTTGACCTGGACGCTCGCCGCGCTACAGTGCCTAGATAGTGAAGCTCTGCACCCGGCCATTCTTTTCATATGTGTCTCGGGAGCGGCCGAGAGGGGGGCGTCCAAGAGGGGGGGGTGCAAATCATGACCGGCGGCACGTGCGCGGCACAACGGGGGGGACATGGACGTAGTGAAATAAGAAGAGGCGCCATCAAATCTGAGGAAATATCATGGCCCCCGACATGATATCCATCCCCCCCTAGTCATCATACCCCTCTTTTCCGCCCCCGAGTGTTGCACGGGCGCGCAGGGTTCGCTCCACTGGGGCGCTTATTGGCACCAACCTCCCCCGTTTCGCTTCTCTTTACAACCCGTCCCATTTGCTTCAACGTCATCACGTCCATCCAGTTCCACCCTTTCCTCGTCATGCCCCTCCTCCTCATTATCATGTCCCCTTGTGCCCATGGATGTCGTTTTTGTTTCTCGTCCTCTATGGCCCGCCCCCCCCCCCGCGTCATCCACATCCTCGCCTTCCCCTCCTCTTCTGCGCCCTGATGCGCTTCATCCCCCGTCCTTTTTGACCCCCTCGCCTTCCTTGCTCTCGTGATGTTAAGCTGAAGGTGCAGCAGTTCCCCTTTCCTCCCCTCGCCCTCCTGTCCTTCTTATCCCCCCGCCCCTACGCCGCCCCTCCCCTCATAACCATCAACCAAGAGACCCGCGGACCCCACCACCCAATGACCACTCTCGCGAGCGCGCCAGGCATGCACGCTCGGAAACGCGAGTTGCGTATTCCGCCTACGTGCAGCGCCCCAGCTCTGAACCAGCCGAAGGAATCGCGAAAGTGCCCGACAAGGCACGACCGTTCACGAGGTGCTCGCTCCACCAAAAAGCACAGCTGGACGCAAAGCCTGCGCGCGCAGATCGTTCAATGATTTGGGTAAGCGGTGGGCCCACACGCGCAACTCCACATTTGAGCACACCAAACGTGCACGCGTACTACACTCTACTCTTTGCCTAACAAGAGGGGAGCACAGGGTACCCTATACATTCCCAAGCCAGAACGAAAGTCGACGTACACAGCTAGGGACGACTGCGATTCCACACTTCCCTGGCCAAGGGCGGCTCCAGCGGGACGCGGCACCAAAGCAGCCTCAAACGGCCAGAACGCCCCAGGGTGGTCCTGAGGGACCCCCCCCGAAGGCCCCGCAGGAATCCGACGCAACCCACGCAACCCACATGATAACATGTCACAAGGTGGCCGAAAAATGTCCCATGTCACGGCCTCTTCTGGGCAACCACATCTCCAACCGTCGCCACACCGACCGCTGCCCCGGCACGTAGTGTAGTTTCCCGCGGGCGGTTTCACATTTGCGCGTTGCCGCCACGACTGTTCTTGGCGGCCATTGCCGCCCACGCCGGGGTCGTGCCCGAACAGAGTGCATGAGCCGCCCCCACTACGTGGCACTGTTGCTGTGCTCATACGTCGCGTGGGCGGCATAGTGCCAGCGTGGGCGCGCGGCACGCGCGATGTTTTTTTGTCTTCTTCGCGCGACAGGGGGGGGGAGGGCGAGGGAGGACGGCGCACCCTCGCGGACCGGCCGCACCACGCCCATCGGCTTGCTGCTGGCAGCTGTGGCCGGGCACCCCTGATACTGCCGCTGCGGGAGTTTTCGCTTCGCGGCTTGCGGAAGAGAAGGGGGGGCGGCGGAGGGAAGAGCAGGGAGAGGGAGGGGGGGGAGGGACGAGGTGCGAGGCCTGCCACGGCAGACAAGGGGGGAGAGTAGCGCTCTTCCGCTCGCCTCGCGGGTGCCTCTGGCCCCTCCAGAGGGGGGGGGAGCAAACAGAGGGAACGGGGAGGAGGACGAGGAGGAGGAGGAGGAGGAGGAGGAGGAGGAACGAAACGACACGATGCTGCTGTGGAGTATGCGCGCCTTCTTCAAGGCACTACGATTTCCTCCAAACTGTGTGAAACCATGCTCTCCGCACCCGCGTTGCGATCACAATGCGATGCCCGCGAATACCAACACGCGCGTGGGGGGGGAATCCCCCGCACATACGATCGTTACCGTTACCCGGGTGGTGGTGGCCTATGTAACGACCGTCGCGCGCCGAGGGATGCAAAACCAGCATGGGTTCTGCGTTCAGTGCTCACGGGCTTGCCTTCAGGGGGACACAGCGCAAGTATACCCCAAGTGGTGCCAAGGAGTCGACAGTTCATCCTTTACTTCTTTGCCCAAGAAACATCTGAGTGGCAGAGTGTGGTGACAAGGCACGCCTCAAGTAGACAATCATCGGTCATCGGCAGCCCCCTGGGTTCGCAAGTTTAGACTCGTCATTCCGTATCAGAACAATCGTAAACGTGCGCGACTGCACCAGTCACCTGTGGGTGAAACCCTGCAGCCTCTATAAAAACAACAGAACAACTATTACGCTACCGAGGAACCCCACATACTCATATCATGGCTGGAGTGATGATAGCTGAAGTGAAGCATATGATAATGATGTTGGTGGCCGTTGCCCCGCCGATGCCGCAAGGACGACCGTCACGGATAGCGGCCGCGCTCAAGGACCACCCCTTGCGCACCCCATGTGGTGTCGAGAAAACGCCACGCCTGCCGTGCCCTGGACGACCGTCACGGATAGCGGCCGCGCTCAAGGACCACCTCGTGCGCACCCCCCGCGGTGTCGAGAAAACGCCACGCCTACTGTGCCCTGGACGACCGTCACGGATAGCGGCCGCGCTCAGGGACCACCCCGTGCGCACCCCCCGCGGTGTCGAGAAAATGCTTTGCATGCTATACCATGGACGACCGTCACGGATAGCGGTCGCGCTCAGGGACCACCCCGTACGCACCCCCCGCGATGTCGAGAAAACGCCACGCCTGCTGTGCCCTGGACGACCGTCACGGATAGCGGCCGCGCTCAAGGACCACCCCGTGCGCACCCCCTATGGTGTCGAGAAGACGCCACCCCTGCTATGCCCTGGACGACTGGAATAGCGGCCAGGCTCAGGGACCACCCCGTGCGCACCCCCCGCGGTGTCGAGAAAACGCCACGCCTGCTGTGCCCTGGACGACCGTCGTGCTGTGCTGTGCTGTGCAGTGCTGTGCTGCGCTGTGCTGAGCTGTGCTGAGGTGCTATGCTGTGCTGTGCTGAGCTGTGCTGAGCTGTGCTGTGCTGAGCTATGCTGTGCTGGGCTGAGCTGTGCTGAGCAGTGCTGTGTACGTGCTGTGTGTCAATGTGCTGTGTGGTGAGAAAAGGAAGAGGGAGGCGGGAGGTGTGAGGAAGACGCGGGTGCGATGCGGGTGGGAAGAAAGCCAGAACTCCACGAAACATGTGGGGAACAAAAAACGAGACCGTGGTAGGCGATATCAAGCTGTGACCAATGAGCATCCCTCTCGTGACGGCCAGTCCTGAGGGAGAGCGATAAGGGGGGGGGGGGAACAGCTCAGGGAAGGAAACATGACTTGAAATCGGTGGTAATTAATCGAGAGATTGGCGATAGGCCCCCGACAGCAACACTGCAAGTTCCTCAGTGGGACGGGGGCCCAGATCCCGATTGGCGATGACTGGGCGCCAGGGGCTCGATGCTTCCCCCCCCCCTGGGCCAATACATCCCCTGTCGTTGCCCCTTGAACTCTGAAATCAATCTCGCCTAATGAAGCTGGATGTCTGGCCTCATTAACTTTGATTTCGCTGAGGTACTGATGCCTTGTCGGCAATACTAACGATGACCAGAGTTGAGAGCAGATCATTTACAACCGGCGTCCACACAGGTCCACTCCCTGCCGACTCCCCGCCAAGCCACTGGCTAAGCCAAAAGCCCCAAATTGTTAATGGACAGCGGTGTCGACGATCACGACAGGGAAACATCAAGAAGAGCGGGGGGCAGAAGGAGTAACATAGGGTCATTCCAGATCGATGAACCCGAACAAAATGTTCATCTATGCATTGTGGAAATCGAAGGGGCGGCCCGAACTACTGTCGACCGGCAACATAATGCAACACAGAAACTGCAAAACACAGACGCGCATCGGAAAGCACCTTGATCGCGCTTGGCAATCCTCCACGCCGCCAGCCGCTCCAAGAGCTCTGCCGTCCTAGGTGGTATATGACGGCCATGAAGCATCAGATGTGACATGGGAAGATCTTAACAGAAACGGCTCATACCAATGTTGGGTTCTTCGCGTACTGCCGCCTACGCATATCCGCTGCGACTCGCATGGAGAAGGATGAAGAAGAAACGCCGATGATACCGTAGAGCGCTCGCGCATCGAGCACAGCATCTGCATGGAAACATGCGGACAAAAAGACACCTCAGAGCGTTCCGGGACGCTCTAAGAGCGTTCCGGGACGCTCTGGAACAGCCACGGCGCCCGATGCATGGCCTGCCTGCAGTGGCCGCCCTCGTACGCACTTAATGAAGCGCCAGTGGACAGGAAAGCGAACATGCTGACAGCCAGCAACATATGAGTGTAACTTGCCTGACATTCACACTCTTCCCTCAATCTCCATCCTTTAGCTCCTCCCCTTCATCGTCCGCCTCCTCCGCCTCCAAATTCCTCCCCCTGTGTTTGTCTCCTTCCTTCCGCATCCTCCCTCCACTTCCAACTCCTACCGCTTCGTGTTGCTCCTCCATCCCTCTCTCTTATAAATGCCATCCCCCCGACCGCACCACCATGTATCCGCTGGCTGGACCGGGCTTTTCGCTTGAGAGTTCCCCGCAAATCGCCTGTCCGGAAGCTAAACAACTCAAGCAATAGCACGGATGAAGGACTGGTCTCTGATCTCAAAATTCGGCTCCCGCCGCAGGGCCGCACGCATTCGTTTTGAAAGATTCCAAGACTTACAAAGCAAGAGGGGGACAGCGCCACTCACATACTTAGAACAATTGACCTGGCGAAGGACCCAACCATATGCTGCTGTGGGAGCCGCAGTCGTGAGTATCATCTTCGGTGGAGCTCCCTATGGGGCCACGAGACATGAGGGGTGTGCCGACATGGGTGTGGCGGACGCATGTGGACGGTGCCACTGGGGCCTTGGGTGGAGCTCCCTATGGGGCCACGAAAGGTGTGAAGGGGCGTGCCGACATGGGTATGGCGGACGCACGGACGGTCATGGGGGTCTTGGGTGGAGCTCCCTATGGGGCCACGAAACGTGTGAAGGGACATGCCGAAACGGGTGTGGTGGACGCATGTGGTCGGTGCCACTGGGGCCTTCGGAGGAGCTCCCTATGGAGCCACGAAACGTGTGAGGGATGTGCCGAAATTGGCGTGGCGGACGCATGTGGAATGTGCCACTGGGGCCTTGGGTGGAGCTAGCTCCCGATGGGGCCACGAAACATGTGACGGGTGTGCCGAAATGCCTGTGAAGGACGCATGTGGTCGGTGCCACTGGGGACCTGGGTGGAGTCCCCTACGGGGCCACGAACCGTGTGAGGGGTGTGCCGAAAAGGGTGTGGCGGACGCATGTGGACGGTGCCTCTGGGGCCTTCGGTGGGGCTCCCTATGGGGCCACGAAACGAGAGAGGGGTGTGCGAGATGGGTGTGGCGGACGCATGTGGACGGTGCCACTGGGGCCTTCGGAGGAGGTCCCTATGGAGCCACGAAGCGTGTGAAGGTGTACAAACACGGGTGTGGCGGACGCATGTGGACGGTGCCTCTGGGGCCTTCGGTGGAGCTCCCTATGGGGCCACGAAACGTGTGAAGGGTGTGCGAGATGGGTGTGGCGGACGCATGTGGACGGTGCCACTGGGGCCTTCGGAGGAGCTCCCTATGGAACCACGAAGCGTGTGAGGGTGTGCAAAAATGGGTATGGCGGACGCATGTGGACGGTGCCACTGGGGCCGTCGATGAAGTTCCCTATGGTGCCACGAAGCGTGTGAGGAGGAGGGGGAGCAGGAGGAGGAGGATAGGCGGAGGAAGGAAGGAAGGACAAAAAATAACGAACGCGAGGACCGCGTCTTCAAAACGAAGACCCAGCACCACAAAATTGTTTGCAAACACCTCCATTTGTTACGAAGATGGATGACGCTCTTTCTCCTGACGGAAGGAAACTCTCGCCGGATACTTTCTCAACCCCTATGACACGCTGTTCCAGCTTTCGCAACAACTCCATGGATGGATGCGGCTCCGTTGTAAAACGAAGCCTTCGCCCGATATGTATCATTTCTTTTGTTGTTCTCTCTCTCTCTCTCTCTCTATATACAGGTGTATATAAAATTACATATACATATATATATATATGTATATATATATATATATCGTTCGTAACCATGACGCTCCCCACAACACTGACGCGAGGCGGTAGCAACCGCGGCAGAGCAGATATCGAGCACTGCGTGCGACAGGACGTGCGCAAAGTGCAGGCGGGGGTGCATTCAGGCGGCACACAACTGCGCAGTACTTCCCCTGGCACTTGGTAGGCGGAGCCGCAAGGGCCAAGACCCGCCAACCAAGGCCAGGAGGATACCAACGCGAAGGCGTACAGAGCGCAGGAGCAGCTAGAACGGAGCCCTGGATCTGTCCACGACGGCTTGAGCTGCGCGCCGTGCATTGTACATGTGCTGAGCGTGGCTTTGGGATTCCACAAGCCACGGCTGGACACGGACAGCGTTGTACATATGGTATGTCAGCACTATATGCTCTACATCCTCCGGAGACGGCTCGCCGCCCAAACCAATCCGACTCGCCGCGAACCCTGGAATCGGCACCGAGGGGTGATATACAATGCACCACAATGCAGGGCACCAAACGTAGTGGGATAACTAGTCCGTGGCGTGCGGAAGCAAGCGGCACGCATCACATCTGAATAAGCATCGGCTGGGGCCGCCCTGCGTGTGCAGCCTGCGGCTGGTGAGCCACCCCCCGCATATTGTCTTTGTCACGGCGGATTGCCAACTTGGCGGGGCTCCGGAGGCTAAAGGGTCTCGGAGGTTGCTCCACTCAGCAAAGCCTACAGGGGGCAGCTCCCAGGCTATGAACCTACGTGCAACGAGAATGTGGAGATTGTCGGGGTAGAGGGCAGGTCGGAGGGAGAGGGTGAGGACACGCTGGGTTTTCACTAGCCTCTGAGAAAAGGCTCCATCTTCACTCTGGGCTGCACGGAGCGCGGCACGAGCAGCACGTGCAGCGTCCGACAACTTCGAGATGCCGAGGTCGTTGCCGTCGACGGAGTCGACGGCAGCATGGTGCAAGCGCAAGACGATCGGGATGGTGTACCAGAACCACGGACTGCGCCAGCACAAACCGATCCCGGCGAATGTCCCGAGGTCCCGGGTCTGTTGCTCGAGAAGCACGAACACTTCACGCCAATTGGAAACAGTGTCCCCGGCTGCTCGTATCATCGAGACTGCCGCGTAGACATTGACAGAGAGCGTTTTCAAAGTCGACCAGGTCGCAAGGCCGAGGCTCTGCGGCAGCAGGTGCCGCAGCTTGGTCATAGCCCACCCCTCGCGGCACCTGATCGCACGCGGGACGGGGAAGAGCTGGGTCAAGTATCCGGGAATAGGCATGACGCGTGCGTTGTACAGATGCGTGGTGATGTGGACAGGCCCGTCGACGGCAGCCCGCTCAAGCACACGATGCAGCCACTTGCCATCAGCGGACTTCCAGGCGTCATTGAATGTTTCGGCAGGCCCCATCATCATGCCGACGTATTCCCCTCGACCAGCAACCGCCATCGCTTGCCAAGACGGTGTATGAGCAGCTAGCCGAGACTTCATGTCCTGAGCAACCTCGGCACTGAAGGGGACCCCTACCCGTATTAGTATGCATGTGTGTGGGCATCTTGGGACGTACGTAGACCAACGGGAGCGTCACCGGCGTGGAAGACACGCCGGAGACGCAGGAACATCCGCCCGCCGTGGACGATGGAGCCGATGCCATCCACGCACACCCCGAGTGCGCAGAGCTCGGAGACGCTAGTGGTGAGCCCGAGATGCTTCACGAACGGGTTCATGCCGATAGCCCACGGCGAACTTGAGAGCGGACAGCCCTGGGCTATCCCCGAGAAAGCGGAGAGGAAAAACCGAAATACCCAAGCCTCCAAGATATACGCCGTCGGGAAGAAGTAGAAGCCGAGGACGAGCTCCAGAAGGGCACCGTTCACCCGTGTGCACTAGGGCGAGCTCCAGCCAGTCATGGGCCAGGGATGGGGACGCATCGCCGAAGTCGAAGAGGGCCAAACACGGCTGCTTTACCTCCCTGAAATCCTGGAAGCCAGCAGCGCGGCCAACCGTGTCGAGGAGGGTGATGTTGTCGAGGACGTTGCACCCAGCGAGAAAGCCTCACTGCGAGGCAGGGCACTTGAGGGAGAGCTCATGCTTGATCGAGCGGTTCGCTGCGGCCGCCACGATCTTGTTATCTTTACTCTTTAAAGCCAGGGCACGAGTGCGCGCAGCCTCGCGGTATGCGCCACACGTGAGGTCGCCATCCGCCTTGCCCTTGGGTGTGAAGACCATGAGGTGATCGTTCCAGACGTACGGCGGTGGGTGGCCCATGGGGATGACGCGAAACATCTCAGCGAGGTCCCCGAAACAGGTGGTGATTTCGCCCAGGCCGTGCGCGGTATGCCACCAGGACCAGCAGCCGTGGGCCTCGCGGCCCGAGCAGCACGTTCCAGTTGCCGCGCATCAAGTGATGAGAAGTCAGAGAAATCCATGGAGACGTTTACAACTCAAGATATGTCAGAGCAGCTTTGGACGGCATGCTCTTATGCTGAAATTCAAGAAGCCAGTGGGTGTGCAAAGCGGCGAATACATCGTCACGTTCATCAACTGAGCGAAGCCCGAACTCGTCGTCTGGGAGCTTGAGACCTTGTAGCTTCAGTGTCTTCTTGAACAGGGACCACAAAGCCGCACGCCGACGGAGGGAACGACGCATACCGCTGACCAGCTTATAGGACGTGCCGTCAGTGGGCTTGTGATTCTGCATATCGTCGAGGTGTGCCATAAGCTTCTCAGAGAAGGTGTTCTGTGCTAGCTGGAAATCCGCCTCGAACTTAGCGGCATCGATGAGGGAACTCTTGTGGCCCGTGGGCGAGATGTGCCGCAATGCGATCGGACTTGATTCTCTAAGCTTCTTCGCCAGCACGTGGTCGT